GATGTGCTTGAGACAGCTTGATTGTGTCAAATAGCTTCATGACAGTCAGCAATGGCAATTCCCCGGTCGAAGATAGAATGATGATACTTTGAGATATTTTGATGCTCAATTCAATTCTAGAGCAAGGATAAGAATGTAGGCAGAGAAATGAGCATACCTAAAGTACCTCTTGGTATGCACTTGGGAATGAGGCCCATATAGCTAGAGGTGATATGTGTGCATATGTTTTTGCTTGGGCCGAATAAGGACGTACCAATCTAGTCATCACTTTAGTTCTCTAAATAAGTTGACATTGATATAGTCTCAATAATAATAGAAAATAACATCAATTTTTTATACATTTTTATAAATAAATTGTGGATTTATTAGACTATTTTTTTTTTGCATTCTTTAATTTCAACATAAGAGATAAAAAATTGGAGTTTCATATTTTTATTTCGTATTTTGGAATGTAAAAAATTGAATCTCCCCCCTCCCCCCTTTTTTTTTTCCTTAGAACACGAGTAAAAACTTAGAAAAAGAAAAACGAATGCAAACGAAACAGTAATTTAGTCTTTTAATAATATAAGACAAAGTCAATTTAATTCTCTCATGCTTCAACCTCGCAGTGTGTACAAAGAAAGACGATTTTGATGTCATTCTCCACAAGTGAAGGATTGAACTAATATCAACCTTTTTTAGAGGGTGAAGTTACCTTTTGGCCTTTGATCAGTATATCCCTTAAGTATTGCTGTAAAACTATTCACTCGAATATTGTTTCAACTAGATCCTTCCAATAATTGGCTTATTCACGGTTTAAACTTCGATGCTTCCCCTAAATATAAGACTCACCAGTCATAGCTAATCTTAAATATCTTGTTAATTATTTGTAGAAAATGAAGTTGGTATCAAATACGAATTACTAAATTACGCGTTTCTTTTTATAGATATATTAAGGAATTGAACTTCCAATCTTTTATATAATTACTCACAACCTTCACTACTATACTAATACTAGTGGTTTAATTTATTTTTTATTTTTTATTTTTAACACTTTTTCAATTTTTTCCACAACCGAACTTTTTCTTCACTCAATAACTGTTAATAACAATTTTATTCCCCCCCCCCCCCCCCCCCCCAAAAAAAAAAAAAAAATTTCTAAGTTTTAGAACACCATTTTTCTAAAAACAGCTTTAAAAATTTATTCTATTCTTTCTTGATTAGAAAGCTGATGCATCCAAATTAAACTAGGGGTTACAGAAAAGATATGACCAATCATCCACCACATGTGACCAATGTAAAGAAATCGAATCTTCTCACTAAAAAAATATATAAAAAGAAAAAAGAATCGAATCTTGTAAGTCCACCGCCTGTGTAACGGAAAGTCAGTGTCCTGATGATTTTATTGGGAGGATATTTCTTCAACTTTGTGCGGAAGATTGAAGTCCTTGGTTTAGAACTTTTTTCTCATTTTTCATTCTAAGGAAGGTCCATTATTTCGTTCTGAAAACGAAAAAGGTTAACATTAAATTTATTTTAAAATAACATTTTTACTATCTACATACTTTTTCGACAGGGTTTATCTTCATTCTTGAATCACATATCGCGTATATACTACATACAATTTAAAATTTGACACAAGAGCCAAAAGTTGCTTCAAAAGCATAAGCACATGTCTTAAAATGGTTAAAAGAATTTAAAATCATAAATGAAAATTGGTGAAAGCATTGAAATATTCAATAAAAAAATTTAAATCATAAAAATTAATTTTAAATAAGTAAAGTTTAGACATGATAATTAGAGTTGACTGATCAATTTAGGTTGATACAAATTTAACATTCAAATTAAGAGAAAAATTTTTTAAAAAAAAACCCTTATGATTTTATTTTGAATCACTTACACTCCAATATTTTTTTCTATTAATCATTTATCTCCTATGATTTTTTTTATATTCACACACTTCCCTGACAATGTTAAAAATTTAACTAATATTTTTATTTTATCTTTTTTAGAATAAGAAAATAGAGTGATAAAAAAATAAAATCAAATATTTTGAAAACTTAGAACACTTACAGAAAAGATTAGAAGAAAAAAATAGAAGAAAAAGAGATAAAAAGTGTCTAAATAAAAAAATAGGATACCAAAAAAATAAAAGAAAATAGATTAAGGACAAAAAAATGTAAGAAAAATAAGACCAAATATATTGGAAACAAAAAATAAACCAATTGAAAATGGTTTGAATAAAAAAAAAGAAAATATAACAAAAAAACTAAAAGTTAAAAAAATTGAAAATGGTCTGAATAAAAAAAAAGAGTATAGACCAAAGACAAAAAAAATAAAAGAAAAAAAAATCAAATACATCTAAATAAAAAAATTAAAATAGACTGAGCAAACAAAAATAGAAAAAAAAAATATCAAATATGTTGAAAGCATATAAGTGATTCAAAGCAAAACCATAGAAAGATTTTTGAACTTTTCCCTAAAACTAATGCCATGCCAATAATTATTTGTATCAAAATTCTAGATACTATCTAAAAAAAATTATTCATTAATACAACTTATTTTTTAAACATGAATAATCCACTAATTTTATTATCCATGACTAATAAAAGTATAATATGTAGGGTAAATATATAATTGTGTAAATTTTTTTAGGAAGAAATATTTGTCCTTTTAAAAGATATAACTTTATGTCATTTTAGATTCTAACCTTTGATTTCCGTCAATCAACGGTTATAATTTATCAAATATATTTAATATAAAATGACACAAAATTATATTTTTTAAAAAAATAAATATTTTTTTTCTTATTTTTAAATATTCTTGACATAAACACAAGTCCGCTAAGTATTAATTTTTAATTAACACGAATAAAAACACATATTGATACAAACGCAAAAATTTCATATGGTGTTTGCATGTGGTTTCTGGTTAAAAACCATCACCGTAAAGCAAATCACAAGTTTGATTCATAAAATGAAAAAGGAATCATTCAATTCCCATTTTAAAAAATCCCTAGCTTTTTGGTGACAAAACGAGCTATTCCGTGACATTAATTACAGTTACAACTTATTGCAATAACCCTCGGTCACGGAAATTTCGATTTTGCGTACACTTTTTTTCTAAAAAGAAAAGATTTTCTACCTTATTTAATCCGTACATTTTTTTTTCTAAAAAGAAAATATTTTCTACCTTATTTAATCCATATATTTTTGAATATTTTCCATTAATGCGGTACATTTAATGCAACAAAAAAGCACACTTTCGTCTAATCTAATGTTATAAAAATTGGATCGACTCGAAAACTATTGAACTGGTCATGTAATCGGTCCGATTTCATATTGAATCAGTCATGTTACAGAATTAGTGTGATCAGATGCGACCCGATCGATTTTCGTAAAAATCGATGACCCAGTCGGTTCAACCAGTGATCCGGTCCGGTCTGTAAAAAAAAACTAATTTATTTTCATCAATTGATGTCTTCTTTTTTTACTCTCAAACACAAATGGCACAAATGGTTTGTTTTCTTTTGAAATATTTGAGTGATTTGTAACTTATTAACTTACATAAATTATGTACCTACAACACTATATTATCCTGATCATGCAATATGCAGGAAATTTTGATTTGATTTATAGTTAGAGACAAGGAAGCATCGACACTTCAAAAACTTTGACGTGTCGTGTCCAATACTTTCCGACACTCTCTGACACTCCAACACTCCCCGACACTTCAACACGCGTTATAGAAATTCAAAAAAAATTCAAAGGTTGCACTGCATTGAGTTTTTGGTTCCAACTATTAAATTCGTTGGATTACGATTAAAATTTTATTGAGTTTAATATAATATATTATATTTCTTTGCAAAATTGATGAATATTATAAATTTATTTTTATTTTTTGTTAAATTATTGAATATTAAATATAATATACACTACATAAATTAAAAATATTATTTAATATCAAAGCGTGTCCTAACGTGTCGAAATCTAACATTTTTTAGAATTAACGTGTCGAAGTGTCGTGTCGTATGGTGTCTCGTATCCCGTGTCGGTATCGGTGCTACATAGGTTAGAGATGTCGTTTACTAAACTTGAAATACTTGTATCATAAATATTATAAATGTTATTAATCTTTTGTTTGATAATGATGTATAATTTATTATTTTCATATTAAAATATTTGAAATTGATATCATTATTTTACAAGTATTTAAATATATTTACAGTGTTTTTAATATAAATTATAAATTTATATATATTTATAAATGAAATAGGGTCAGGATCATTTTACACCAGTGTAAGTTATACTCTCAATCTTGACCATTGATCCCATTTATATCTAAGGGCTCTAATTTTTTAGTAATGTGAGTCATTGGATACAAGTGGATCAATGCTCAAGATTGAGTGTAAGACTTCTAACTCTTACACTGGTGTAAGAATATCCTGCCCCAATGAAATATATATAAATTTATACGAAAATCACGCGTTATTTACAATTAATTTGGGATAAAAGTGTTGTTGATGTTGATATTGATATATTTATAAATCACACCGTTGAATCAATAACTCATTGATTAAACCAATAACCCAATAAGTGAATCAATAACCCAATAACTCAACGGGATCAATAAACAAAATCGAGTTTAACGTTTCCATCACAGCTTCATAAGGCAAAGGAGGAAGGGGACGTGACGTGATAAGGCACTGATTTGAAGAGAAACGATGCACACACACTCTCACTCTCTCTCACCCCTTCACCACCAATCAACCATTCCACCTTGGACACAAATCTCCCTCAACAGATAAGAGGGCCCCACCTATCCTCTTTCATCCACACACACCCTTCACTTACCCCTACCTCACCACATGCTCCTTCATCATCTCTACCCGTCCATTCAACCCCCCCAATCTATCTTCCATCACATAAACGACAATCAAGCCATAGAGCTCACGCCATTCATCTACTCCGCGACGCACTCGATCCAACCCCAGCGCTCAACAACAAAAACTGACGGTTAACAAGAACCATAGGTACTAACACGAAACAACATCCATATCACTCTCTTATTGTCTCTCGCGTTTCTCGTTCGTGTTCCAATGGAGTCGCGAGTGTTGTCACGCGCCGCCATCTTGTCCTCCCTCCCTCACCTCCGCAAGCTGCCTCGGGAGTCCGCCGCCAATGCTTCCCTCGTCTCCGTGAAGGCAATCGGTTCCGTCGCCGACGGTGGGAACCTCATCTGGGGGAGGCAGCTCCGTCCGGCGCTGTGCTCGCCGGCGCTGAAGAAGGAGGTTGTACTCCTCCGGCCATGCCTCGCCGCAGCCTCCTCGCCGGCCGAGGGGAGTGATTCCGCCGGGTGAGGTCCGTTTCATCCGTTCTGACTCAGCAAACTCGGCCGAGTTACTGTCCCCACTAATGTCCTCGGTTGTTTCTTCTTCTTCTTTTTGTTGCAGGGAAGCGAAGGTAGCTCCGGTGGGTTTCTTCGAGAAGTACCCGGCTCTAGTCACCGGGTTTTTCTTCTTCATGTGGTAAGTCACGTTACTCCTACTACTACTGCTACGACACAACAACCTGCGACTGTCTTGCGCTTGCGCAGTGTTGTTTTATGTTGTGTTCTGTTCTGTGACTCTTTTTTCTTCCCTTAATTCGTTAACTATAACTGTCTACGAGGGAGAGGCTCTGTTTTACTGGTCGCTCTGAGTACTGAAATTACGTCCTTGTCCTTTTACTTTTTTGATGTAGGTACTTCTTGAACGTGATTTTTAACATCCTCAACAAGAAGATCTACAATTATTTCCCCTATCCATAGTAAGTTAATGGCTGATGGATTTCATGTCTTAATTGGGATTGGATCCATAAGATAATATATTACAAACATGTTACTCCCTCCTCTAATATAATTTAGTAAAAAATTCTCATAATTAAATCTTTATTTTGTATTTCTTAATTCTTGTGTCGTGTATAGAATCTATACTTCAACAATATGGAGTTGATAATTGTTAAGATTGTGTTATTGAGTATCTTCAATTCGTTATTTATATATTAGTTTAAATGTAAGCTTTATTTGAATTTTATAATTTAAGTTTCATCATGCGTATGTTAGATTATTATATATAAAATAATTTCCTGATTTTCTCGTTACTTTATCAGTTTTGAATTTGATTAACTGTGCTTGCATGTGCAGCTTTGTATCGGTTATCCATTTGTTTGTGGGCGTGGTGTACTGTTTGGTTAGCTGGACCGTGGGCCTTCCAAAGCGTGCCGTAAGTCGAGTTCAATATCTCCCAGCCCAGAATCCCCCCCCAAAAAAAAAATCAAATTACTAATTGCTACGCTTCAACTTTTCTGGAATGACCTTGTTAATTGGTTAACAGATAACAAATTTACATTAAATCAACATTTGGGACACTATTTCATAATGAATATTTGAATCCAAAAATGTGATGAAAAATTTCTAAAGAATGCTCTATTTAAATGTTAAATATACTGATTTGTGTATGGCATGTGTCTGTTGTTTCTGTAGCCTATAGACTCCAACCTGCTGAAGTTGCTCATTCCCGTGGCTGTGTGTCATGCATTAGGCCATGTGACCAGCAATGTCTCATTTGCAGCAGTTGCTGTTTCTTTCACACATACCATTAAAGGTGATAAAAGTTTATAATATACAAGAAGATGTTGAATGAGGTAGCGTCTATATATGATTGAAACTGTATCTATTTCCTAACACTGATAAACTCTGTTTCAGCTCTTGAGCCATTCTTCAATGCTTCTGCTTCACAGTTCATACTTGGCCAATCAATACCCATCACTTTATGGCTGTCACTGGCTCCTGTTGTTCTCGGTAACATCTTCTGTCTCAGTCATTTGAGTTGAGATATGATTATATGTCTATTTGTTTCCACTTTCCAGCCATTTAATTGGTGCGTAGAACATTTTATGATCGCAATATTAACTGTGAACATAAAGAAATTGTAAATAGAGAATGCAAAAATACAAGTATGACTTATAAACATGCAAAGAAATTTAGTCAGTGCAATTTGGCCTAACTTTGCATGACATCTACTGCACAGGTGTGGCAATGGCATCATTGACCGAGCTCTCATTCAACTGGACTGGCTTCATAAGTGCTATGATTTCAAATATTTCCTTTACATACCGGAGTATCTATTCAAAGAAAGCCATGGTTATCTTCTATGCTAATTGATTCTTTCACTGACTATATATACACATTTTTTTGAATGTCTGATTTCGATGACACCATGTCTTCCTAGTATACTTACTATTGTTCTTTCATATTATTATTATTAAATATCTCTTTGTGCAGACTGATATGGATAGTACCAATATCTATGCCTACATTTCCATCATTGCTCTAATTGTCTGCATACCACCGGCCGTAATTGTGAGTGGAACCTATTCTTAGTTTCTGTAATTATTGTGACTTTTATATAATATGTTGCTCTTGTTTTTGGTATCTCCTTCCTAATTCATTCATTATTTGATCCCACAGCTCGAAGGGCCTACACTGTTGAAGCACGGGTTCAATGATGCAATTGCTAAAGTAGGTATGGTCAAGTTCATCACAGATCTCTTCTGGGTTGGGATGTTTTACCACCTGTACAACCAGGTAAATCCTTCTTTTCTATGTGATAGTTTAAACTTTTGATGAGTTTGAAATATACTAAATAACTTTTTTCAATTCATTTATTTATTTATGGCCTGTTCCTACCTGGGTGAAGGAGTTTCTTATTGTTGTTCATCTGTTTAATTCTTATTGGAGAAACACAATTTCTTTTTGTGAAGTGGCAATGATATATATATATATATATATATATCTACATTTTTCATCACCAGGTGGCGACTAACACACTGGAGAGAGTGGCTCCTCTCACTCATGCAGTTGGCAACGTACTGAAACGTGTATTTGTGATTGTATTTTCAATTCTAGTCTTCGGTAAATATCGTTTTCTTCCATAGTGCTGTACTTCAAAGTTTCACGAATGTTTATTCATTTGCTTTTAGATTTCCATGCCCTTAAAAAAAAAGTTATATTCCTGAGATTCTAACGTTCTGACTGGCTAATTGCTTCACACAGGTAACAAGATTTCCACCCAAACTGGTATTGGAACAGCCATTGCTATTGCAGGAGTGGCAATCTACTCGCTCATCAAAGCCAGGATGGAGGAAGAGAAGCGAGTGAGTCTTGTTTCAATTGTTTTTGTACCACAACTGCATATTAAATTGGTTGAAACTTTAAAAGTTAATTTGCTTTGGCAAGTCACAAATAAACCACTTTTGGCATATATGCTTTCTAAGACACCATTATATATAGTTTCATGCTTCTAGCACGGAGTAATATTTTTCAGTTTTTCTTTTTAATTCTTTTTTGTCGCCGATATATTCATTGAGCAATAATTGTTGGTGTTCACAATTTTTTTTAACGAAGTGTACTTTTTTTGAACGGATTTTACCTTGGTCTTCAAAATGCATTAGGCAATATAGCAATACACAAATAAAATTGACAAATTTTTCTTTTTGTTCTATTGACAGCAAGCGAAAGCAGCATAAGAAGAAAGAGGCGTCAACTTGGAGGATGTCTTGAACTGTAAATCATCATAAATTTCCTTCAAAATAATTGGGTGACTGGTTCAGTATTGTACTATCCTTCGGATAGCCTTTTCTTTTTCCTTTTCTTTTTCCGGTCAAATCTTTTTTTTTTCCCTTGTTCATTCAGAAAACAATGACTTGCTGATTTGCAGTCTTTTCATGTTTGACCAAAAAAATGATGTATCCATGATTCCCATAAAGTGCTCTTAAGGAGGCGTTTGGTACCGATTTTCTTAAAAAATTGATAGGCAAATTCAATAGGGATTTGAAGATTACAGTGTTTGGTAGAAGATTAAAAAAAATTATGCCATCTATATTGAATACCCAGGCAAAGTACATCATGTGAAAAATTGCAGCAATCGCAGTGTGCTTGATACCCATATCATGAGTGGTATTTCATGGTTGCCTAGGAAAGAAAATGTGTACGAAGATATTGTCCAAATTGCCCCTGATTTACTGTTTTTATTTTGCAGTTTCAAAATTTACAATGCCCATTTTGGTAATTTATACCAATTATCCCATTAATATTTTACTTTCTACCAAACGTAGATTTTGAAAACTTACTTAATTTTTCCAGTAATATTTCATCCTACCAAATAACTTTTTATCAACTTTCCCAGTAAACTTATTTTTTCATTATTTTCCCAGTAATTGTATTTACCTGGTTAAAAAAAATTACTCCTCTACCAAACACCCCTTAAGACTATTATGAAATCTGAAAAGATGGTCAACAATCAACATTTAAGATATAACTGCATTTCGAGGTTCTTTTTCAGAGCGTACTGGGCCAATTAATCTTTTATTTGGTATAGTGGATGGGGCAAAAACTAATGTAAATGGTGGATTCAACAGTTAAGTTCCAAAATTAAAGGCTTTAGGGGAAGATATTGTAGCACGTCACCATAAGAAATCCATGGCAACCACCATAACTTTGGATCCATGTAATTTAAAGTAAATGAGATATTATGAAGAATTTGATTTTAATGTATTATATATGGGGAATGATTTGTTTACAATTTTTTTTTTTACAAATTACATTAAGTATGATTGGTTATACATTCTTGATTGAAGTATGACCGGTCATACCTAATGTAGTTTGTAAAAATTTGTAAACAAAAAGTTTATAAATATAACATTCTCCTTATTATATTAAGCATGAAAGTTAAAATATTATTATTAGAAAAACAATATCAATGGCTGCAACAAAGAAATATACAACTCAAATAACATTAAAAAAAAAACAAAGATTATTAAAATAAAAAACACATAAACCTTATTTAGAGGGAAAACTATTAGATTTTATTTTATAGATATGAAAGTAGTAATTATTTAAATAAATAACCGCTCATATACAAGTAATAATTATAAAGTTTTCTTTTTATGTTTCTCAATGAAAACAACAAACAACTGAATAGCAAACAATAATCATTCGCGAAATTCTTGTTCACTTCACTAATTTAATATAAAACTTTATACGTAATTGTTAGTGTTTACCGAAAAGAAGTGACCACTCAACCAAAAACATAGTCAATCATGATTTTTTTCATAATGTCATGTAACTTTACAGAAAAAACGTTATTTATTACTAATTTAGGGTTGGCAAAACGGGCCAACCCGGCTCGACCCGGCCCAACCCGCATGCAATTCGAAAAAACGAGTCGGGTTAGGGTTGGCTCACAAAAAAACGAGTCAGAAAATCCAACCTAACCCGACCCGAGTCGGGTTAGGATTGGCTCGCGGGTTGGCTCAAAAATATAGCTCATAGGTTGGCTTAAAAAAATAGCTCGCGAGTTGGCTCGAAAATTGCTCGCGGGTTGGCTCGTTTTCAACCTATTTAAATGAACCTGTAGTATTAATGCACCAACTATGTGGCTTTCATCAGCTTAAACAAAGGGTTACAAAATGAGAAATAAAAGCAAAATATTCTACTTTCGAATTTTCTTCATAACAAATTTGCACAACATTAAGAAACAATCAGAACCACTTGCTATCAAGTGGGTAAGAAATTTGAACCAAACAGAGCCAGCATAGCCTAACAATATAAAAATGCCAGGGATATGAGAAGATTATGGACTTAGGTTTAGAGAAGGTAGAAAGACGATGACAACATGTGTGGGTTTTGTCCATTTTTGTATATTATTTTTATTTTTTATTAAAAAGAAAAAACTCAACCTGTGAGCTGGCTCGTTTAACCCGCGGGTTGGCTCATTTTTTCCCGAGCTGACTCGGGTCGGGTTGGCAGCTCATTTTTGCCAACCCAACCCGGCTCATTTTTGACGGGTTACGAGCCAACCCGACGGATTGGCTCGTTTTTGCCAACCCTAATTACTATTAGTCACTCAATAAAAATAAATGGCTTACCAATAACAGAATAACTGAATAAGTCATTTGCAAATCATTTTAACTTTGTAAATACATATAAAACTTCATTTATATCTCTTAACTATGTAGTGCAACAAATAATCACAAAACAAATCATTCCTACAAATTTATTCTTAGGGGTGTAAATAAGCTGAGCCGAGTCAAGCTTTAACTTAAATGAGCCAAGCCTATGAAAAATATTTTGAGCTTGGCTTGGCTTATTTGCTTGGTATGAGCTAAATTCTAGACTTGGTTTGGCTTGTTTATAAAAAATTAAGGGCTTGGCTTGGCTCATTTATAATTATAAAATGTATTTTTTCCAAACTCACATACGTTCAAATGTTGAGACTATAAATGCATCAAATTCTATATTCCTTCGTCAGAGAAAAAACAATCATAGAACCCACTCAATCCACATATATTTTAATAATGAATTCTGCAATTTCTTCTTAAACATTGATCCAGCTCGTGAAATAGAGAATGTGGGGGAAGAATATTTTAAGAAAAGTATGTAATATAGACTAACCTTTAAAAATTTCCAGTGATATCAATTTGTAATATTAAAAAAAACAGTTACTATGACTATGACCTTTATTAAAATAACCAAACAAACTGGATAAACAATTGAATCGCATTTCATGTCACCAACATTCTCATCCTCAAATTGGAACAAAGAGGTTAACAATCAATATCCACTGACAACACCTAACCAAAGAAAAGAAAAATTACATATTAGCACTACTACCAATCCTCATGCTACTCCAAGGAAACCTAGCAGTTATTCCAAAGTCTATCGGCACTTTCATATGTGCAATTTGATATAAAAATAGGATTAATAATTTAGTGACATAAAAATATATTGTTTATTATAATAATATATCGGGGTAGTTCACGGGCTTTCAAGTCAACCTCGTTAAATTAGGATTGAGCTTGTTTGCTAAACAAGCTTTTTTTAAAGTTTAAGCTCGTTCTATTTATTAAACAAGTCAGACCAAGACAAGTTTAAAGCAAGCCAAACCTTGGGCCCTTGACAAGCCTCTGCTCATTTACACTCCTATTTATTCCTAACTTAATGTATTGAATCATAGGAGATAAAGTTATATCCTGCAACCTCAAAATGACATTATTTTGGGGTTTAGAAATAAAAATAAATAATGTTTTAATAAAATTTATGATAAAAGAAAAAATAAAATTTCTAAAATACCCTTTATTTTTAATACTAAATCCCAAAACGACATCATTTTAGAGTTGCAATAAATAATTTTATCTTGCTTATCAAAAAAAATATAATAATTTTATCTCTTGTTTATAGGAGAAACACTTTTTTCCTTCAATATAGTATTTTACTTAGTATTAAATAATTATTAGTGAAAACAAATAGACGCTATTAATATTCAATAGTCCTTCTTTCTTAAAAAAATATGTGACTTTTTTTGACGATTTGAATATTTATATCCATTAAAACTAAATATTCATTCTTAGCTTAACTTTATATTAATTTTGCCTTATTAATTAGTACATGTTTTTTATATATAAATAATATATTATCTAACTCATAACCGACTCAAAGAATTGGTATACGTAAAAAAAAAAAAAATCGTGTGCATACTGCACATTATAAACCACACATGTTTGGAGCAATTCTCTGGCAAATATAAATATAGTTCTGGTTAAAGATATCAATTGAGGTCTGTCTCAATCATTCAAACTAACTATAAGTCAAGCCAAATAACCGGTAAAGTTTTAGGGTCAGCAAGTATCATTTTAGAATTGGAGAATAATTACTTTAACTCAACACAAATTATAAACTATTTCAACTTATTCTCATTTATTTTATTTAGTTAAATATACGATTAGAATTTTTAAAAAAATTATTGATTAAATGCGTATGTTTTGTCGAGGTATTGGCGCATTTTAACACAGCCCGTTTTTTATGTTTAAGGGCATATTTTTAGTGATACAGGAATAGGTACTTCTTTATTAAAAATAAGAAGAAAAAATATAACTCATATGTCATTAATCATAAAACTAAGTGTAATGATTATTTTCTAATTTTAGCAAGGATGTACGGAGTATTCAGTAATACGAGAGCAATGAAGATATTTTGAGGAAACAAGAAGTTACTTAGAAAACTTATATAATATAATTGTTTTAGATATATTATCCAACTTAGGCTAAGCATTGGACTCAACAATTAATGGGAAAACCTTGAGAGGCATTTGATAGAAGATAAAAAAAATTTATCCAGAAATTACGATTTTCAAAAATATGGTAAAAAATGAGTTTTTGGGAAATGTTACCAAAAAATTATTCTATAGGCCAAAATATTCTCGAAAATATTGGGTTAATTTTCCTGATATTATGTTTAGTTATTTTTGTCTGAAAAATTAATCTGTATTTTCCCATCGTCTGGGGTTTCTGAAATATCACCTTCTAGATGGTATTTTCGATGGTATTTTGGTTTAAAAAGTACACACAAAACTGAATTCTGGAAATTTAACTTTTCGGGAAAAAATTTCTCCAATGTGGCACCAAACATGATATTCTAGGAAACTCACCCTCACTTTCCCAGGAATCTAAATATAATCCTCCTACTAAACACCTCCCAGTGCCTGTTCGGGAAGTCTTTCTTTTTAGCTTCTCTTCTTGTAAGCAGAAGTTGGGGCAAACAGGTTTTTACAAAAGCTCTAATAATAAAAAGATCTTTTTCTTATAATGAAAGAAAAAAGTCAATAGCTCCTAGGAGGAGCTTTTTTTAAGTTGTATCAGCTTATTTTTAATTTGAACTTTTAAGTAACATTTAAGCTAAAAAATGTATATAATCATCAAATAGTTTTCAGCTTTATTTTTAAAGCTCTTTAACTTTAACTTAAAAGTAGCTTTTAGCATAAAAAAATAAGGTACTAATTAGACTCTAAGCCTTTTTAAACTCATGACAACCACCATATAAAAGAGGGGTCTACATCCTCACACCGTGATAAGAAATACAATTAGGTATGTTAGGACTCACACATTGTCT